TTCAACAGCCATCACCGGGTGCAGCTGGACTGGTCGAGGAACAGCCCGCCGCGCTCTATGACTACTACCTCCCGTCACGTTACAGCGCTCAAGCCATGCGCCAGCAGATGGCCTCCAGGGGCTACTTCACAACGCCCTCTGGTGGAAAAATTTACTCCAGCACAGGTGAAGAGGCTGACAATGAGGAGGAGCGTGGTGTTTTAAGTGACACTGGTGTGTACTGTCGTCAGCTTGACTAACCCTTGTATTCATAGCATGTAGCATTTGATTGTAATAAATCAATTTGTAGAGCATTTAATATTTTTTTTAAACCATCCTGTATAATATTTCAAGGAAAGTTTCTCACAGAATATATTATATAAATATGAAATGACTAAAATCCTCTAACATTATATATTTGGATCATCTCTCTCTTAACGTCTGTCTTAAGAAGTCATTGTTTTTAAATAAATTTAAAAAAAAATTCTTTCAGTTTAAATTTTAACAAAATATATTTGGATCATCTCTCTCTTAATTTCTGTCTTAAGAAGTCATTGTTTTTAAATAAATTTTTAAAAAATTCTTTCAGCTTAAATTTTAACAATATATATTTGGATCATCTCTCTCTTAATTTCTGTCTTAAGAAGTCATTGTTTTAAATAAATTTAAAAAAAATTCTTTCAGCTTAAATTTTAACAAAATATTTGGATCATCTCTCTCTTAATTTCTGTCTTAAGAAGTGATGGTTTTCAACTGAATAAAAAAAATAATTTATTTCAGCTTACATTTTAAAACAATTATGTTATTTCTCACCCAGTTGACTTTGTGGCTAGAAGAACATTATAAATATTGGTCAACCTATTCTTAACTATACGTCTTCAAAAGCGTATGAATCAATTTACAATTTATATATTTCCATTTTTTATTTTAAAGTGTTGTTTTGTTATTTAAAAAGACTTTTCGCAATTCAAGTGTAGGTATGTCATGTTTTTTCAATGTTTCTGTTGTCTATAAAATTAACCAAACTTACCCCATGTATCTTATGTCTACTTTGTGTTTGTTCTTGCCTATTAATTTCCATTGCCTCAGGTATATGGAGTGAGTGTTGTATCTAAACACATTTCAAAGCAGTCAAACCATACTTGATTAATTAAATCATCAAACATATAAAGCTACTCACAAAGAAACACCGGCTGAAGGAGCTGGCACTTTGAAAATGTTCCAGAAAATTCAATTTAAAGCTCCTTTAGCCGTGGCGTGGAAATTTCTGTGTTCATATTTTGATGTTTTCTATATTGTGGCTTTTAGTAAAAATTGAAAAGGATGTTTGCCTGTGTGTGACTAAACTCAACTAATCAGTAATTTTCAGTAAAATTTATTAATTTTAGTTAATCTAGTTTTCTTTTTTTTTTTTCCTTTTTTTTTTTTAAATTTTATTAAAAAAATAACAAAATTTTCAAGAAACAAAAAAAAAATATCTTAAGTTATAATTTTTAATGTTTTTCTTTTTTTTTTTTCCTTTTTTTTTTTTAAATTTTATTAAAAAAATAACAAAATTTTCAATAAACAAAAAAAAAATATCTTAAGTTATAATTTTTAACATAAGCTTAATTGTTCATTTCAAACTTCCAACTGATTGCATATTTGAGTAAAAAATATCATGTTTCTTCAAAAACAAACCTCAGTGTGTTTTTTTTCCCAGCCTATCTGGCAGGATCTGCTAGTCCGGCACAGAGCAGACCTTGGTATCAAATAAGACGAGCGGCTCGGCCCTTCGCTTCTGCTTACGTTGGTCAAGGTGAACCTCGGGCTCAATCCCATGACGATCTGCGCTATGAACCAGGGAATCCCACCAATCCTTACATAAACCAGCAGGTACCTAATGTCAATCTGTTCTTGGAATTCATTGTAATTGCTCCAATTTGCACAGATGCTTTGTGGAATTTTTTCTTAGACTATAGGAACACTTGATTTTTTTTAGAAAAACCCAGTCAAACTGGAGAGTAGAGATTGCCAGACATGAAATTCAAAATGTTAATTTATATTTTATGTGTTTCCTTCCCTATTTCCATCACTCAGGCCAGAGCCAATGTATACTTTAAGTATTTCCTTCCCAATTTCCATCACACAGACCAGAGCCAATTTATATTTTCAGTGTTTCCTTCCCAATTTCCATCACACAGACTGAGCCAATTTATATTTTAAGTGTTTCCTTCCCAATTTCCATCTCACAGGCCAGAGCCAATTATATTTTAAATATTTACTTCCAAATTTCCATCACACAGGCCAGAGCCACTGCACATGCTGCTAACAACACCACAACTGCCTCACAAGCCTGTCCCATGTGTGGTGTGTCCAGTTATCATGCACATGCCAACTTTGTTCACACTGGCTTTCCCGCACCAACAACCTCTCCACCCAAATACTCTTCACACACATTTGATAGGTAAGCTGTCTTCATTTGACTTCCTGGTTTCTCGCGTGTGTTTAAATTGTTATCATTTTAAAATGTTGTCTTGGTTAAAATATGTATTTATTTATGTGATGAAAATGAATAGGTACAATGTGATAAAAAAAAATTTCCATTTATTTGGATCAATAAAAGAATCTTATCTAAGCTTATTAAATACGGGCCACTTGAAGTAAATGTTAAATTTATTACTATTTTTATTGGAGTGGGAGGGGGGTGTAGAGATTAGCTGTTTCCTCCTAATATTTAATACCATTGTCCTATGATTATATTTTGAAAAGAAAATGTAGCCCAACAACATATAACATATTTGAAGGCAAATAAAACTCTTGATCAGATGAATGTTTTGCACATACATTGCTCATAAAATCACTTAAGTCCTCATGGACTAATGTGTAAGTACTCAATTGATAGCTTCGACACCTAAGCATCATTGGCATTGCCAGGGAAGTTCCGCTCAGGAGGGACAAAATTTTTTGCCCCCCCCCCCCCCCCCTCCACAAAAAAACTCTGTAGTCTGCCCAAAATGCTGTCTCTCCATATTAGAAAAAAGTGATGCCCTGGATCCCCCCTTCCTGCGCCACTGCTGAGCATATGGGGTTCTGACATAATGACAGATTTGATGCTATTTAAACGTTACTAGCAATTTTTTTTTAAAAAGTCCATAGTAACGTATTAATTAATTAAAACAAAATGGGACATTTTTTAAGACTTTGTACTATTTGCAGACCAAACCAAAAGGGAAGATTGTCAACTTTGAAATATTTTATATAAATTGGATAGATAAGAGTAAATGTATAACATTCTGACTGACCAGGGACAGAACACCTACCAGACACAGCCGCCCAAGATCAAGATCTGCCTCACGTACGCGTAGCTACACTCCTGGCTCCAGATCACGCTACAGTGTCAGGGAATACAGTCCCCTCAGTGATTCAGACGGAGAGGAGCAGACTTCCAGAAGGTGATTATTTTTAGAGTTTTTGAGAATCACTGAACACGTTGGGCCATAAGGTTTTGTGTTGGTTGTGTTATAAGGTTGCTGCTGTGGAAATGTTCGGATGGGGCCTTGTGGTAAGCTGGTACTGAAATTGTTCCAACAATTTTTTGAATATGTTAAATGTTTGTAAACTAGTCCCCCCCCCCCCTCGTCCCCTCTCTCTCTCATTAGTAAGGATTTCATGTAGATTAATTCAACACGATGTGTCATCAATTTCTTATCAATATTTTACCTGTTACCTGAATTGTTTATTGAGACAATACTGAATGTGGCTCGAAATTTTCAGGACTTTATTTCATTTGAACAAAAAAAATACCAGAAGACAGGCAGTCGGACCTGATTTGAACCCTAGACAACTATCTTTGGTTTAAGATCTGTTAGTATATCCCAAAGCTTGTACTTTAGAAACTTTATAACTGACGAAAGAAATAACACACAATTAATGATGTTTTCTTTAAAGGAGTCGGAGCTTGTCACGGGGAAGAACAAGGGATAGGTCACGACCCAGAAGGGAAGCTCATCGTCACAAAAGGCGCAGTGAATCAGCAAGTGACTTGGTAAGTGAATATGAGAAATCTTCCTTAATAACTTGTTAGATTTCTGGTAATTTAACCAGGCTGTATTTCATTAAATGGTTATGTCTAGTTCTATCTTCTAATGAAATTTAACCAGGCTTTATTTCAATGAATGGTTAAGTCTAGTTCTATCTTCTAATGAAAATGTTTCTAGTAATCTAACCAGGCTTTATTTCATTAAATGGTCATGTCTAGTTCTATCATCTAATGAAAATGTTTCTATGTTAATGCTTGTATCAGGGTTCAGATTAAACATCTTTTGTTTATTTTTGTTTAACAGTCCGATGAAGAAGTGGCTCTTGACAGAAGTCTCAGCTTGTCCATGGATATAAGTCGACTGACCCATAAAATGCTGGGCACCCTGAGGGTAGAGCTGAAGCGGTCCAGTGAGAAACGAGATTATGGATCATCTTATTGGTGATCAGGGTGGAAAAAAAAAATCAAAACTTTACACAGATTTGACAGATTGTTCATTCCAACCATAATAAATATGTAAATATTTTGTACATTCCAATGTTTTTGACATTTCCGTCCAACCTACTTATAGTATTATGCTAATAGTATAACAAAACTTATTTATATAAGAGAATTAATCTTTACCCTTTACAGTATGTTATTTACCAAATAGTATACAGTAGCCCTGCCTTTATTGTATGTGAAGTACGACAACCATGTTTATGGTTTGTATCAACTGAGTTGATGGTATGTGTAGGCACTCTGTTAATGGTACCTCTGTAATTTACACTAATCCGTATGTGATATATTTATTTATCTTAAAATTTCTTTCAATGTCAAATGTATTTATTTACTTTCTGAAATGTAAATTAATTATGTGATTTTGTTGCATACCGCTTGCGAAAGCGAGACTGAACCTGTACCTCTTTGTTTTATGCAATTTAAAAGTTTTCATTATATTATATTGTATATAATAAGAATAAAATATCTATACAAATACACACATGTCTTGGGGTTCAACTAAACATTCAAGTAACTCGACAAAGTCTTGTGGAAAATTTGAAAAATATTGTATTGTGAAAATACATTTAAAACTGATGATGATGACATGACATTAAAGAGAGGGTTCACACAAACACAAGTATATGATGACCAACTAAACACAAGCATCTGATAAACTAAACAAAAGTGTATGACTAGTGAGTACATGGAAGTAAATGGTAAATAAAATGCATAATAACTTGTCTTAAATAAACAATATCTCATGGGATGTATATTATATAGTATTAATATTTGAGTAAACCTATACTTTGGTTGCTTGAAGTAGCTTTGAGAATTTGTATTTTGTTAATTTATCTATTGTGTATAAGACTTCAATTACAGTACTCTAACCCTAACACTAAAGTAAGTAGAATTTAAATCTGATTTAAATTGTTTGTGCCATGCATGGATCAATATTCTGTCAAAATTGTTCATCATATATGGCAATTTTAAAAAAAAAACTCTTGATAAAACTCTATGACCATGCTGCATAAAAGGGAATAAAAACAGTTTGAAAATAAAGGGTGTGAGAGAGAGAGTTACAATGTTGACAATGAATAATAATTGAGCATACATTTAACATAACAAAGTTACAAAGTCAGGTGGTAGTTGCGACTAAATGAGTTCAAAGTAATTTACAGTAAAGTATGCAGAGCTGAAAAGATGGGAAAGAATTTAGCCAATAATTTTATGAGAGTGATAAATATTTTAAAAATTTTACAATTGATAAGAGGGAGAAAAATGCTTTTATAACAGCAAAGAAATAATGAGAAAAAAATTTGTTAAGTGTTGTTTTTTTTTTTGTTGCAGCTTTTTAGTTCCTTCAAACAAATTTGAATTTTGTTACTTTGATTTAAACAAGTCACACACAAATGATGTATTTTTTCCTTTAGATGATAATAAAGGCACTTTTAGCCTGGGGGAAAAAACTAAAAAGAACACAAAAATGGGGTGTAGAGTATTATATTGCTTCACTCAGTTCCACTGTGCATTGTGAAGGAAAATTAATAATGCTACCATTAAAACTAGGGATATAATATAACAAAACAAATATTTCCTGCCTAATGTTTTAGTAAAAGATAAATACAAAATATTTAAAAAATATGTTGTGGCCTCCACATCAACCCCTTATAGCCACCACATCCTCCACTGATGGCAAAAATATTCCCTCACAATGACACACAGTACAACATGATTTTAAATTCTCAATTCAGTTCATGTCCTTTTTTCCACTTTTTTTTTTCCTTCTCAAAGATTGTAATTTTTAGAACTACCTTATAAAAGTGTTGTATAAAGAAAATTTGTAAAATTTCCACCTACTGGTATACTATTTGTTCAAAACTTAAGATAACCAGAAAGGAGACTACAAAGATACCAAGGCCAATAATTCATTTAAAAGTTAACTCAAATTTTTTAAGCATAAACACAAGAGAGCAGCACAGTACATTGAACACAATGAGCTGTAGCGGAAATACAAGCTCCAGCCAGAGGATACATTCTGAGCATTTAACCATTAATAAAACAACAAACTTGTTATCAATAAAATAACAAAATAATCTGTGACAAAAATGAATGATGGCCGGTGATCACAAATCAACTGCCCTTAGAATAAAATACATAAGGATTCAATATGTGAAAATTTATTTACCCTTTGTAATTTAAAAAAAAAACAAATGTCTTGCTAACCAAGCAATTCTATAATGCCAATGTAAATTTTGAAAAATAAATAAATGTTTTTTTAAACATAAAAAGTCCAAGAATTAATTTCACAAGGAATATTGAGCCATCATTTTTCAGCATTAGTAATTTCAAGAATATTCATGGAAAATTTACCTAAAATGCTTGAATTAAAGAAATAGGGTTTTTATTAATAATACAGGTTTGTGTAATTCTATAAGAAACAAACTGGGCTGCCATCTTGAAGTTTGAAAAACATAAAACCAGCGCAGAGCTATCTTGCTATTGTTCAGCTCTTTGATATTCTTTATCTAAAATGATAAACATATGACAATGTCCAAGTAGCTGTTTGTTCAAATTAATCAGATCAAAATTAAATTATTTTTTTTCTTTTTAATAACGTCAAAGCACTACTTTTTTTTTTTTGATCATGCATAATTAATAGTTTCCTTGAGGCTTCATTCTGATCTCATTGGATGCTAAAAAATATAAATACTAATTTCACTAGTACAATGAACACAAATGAGCATTACTAAGACTGGATTGAGGTTTCGGGGGGGGGGGGGGGGGAAAAAAAAAAAAAAAAAAATTAAAATATTTTATTTGAAAAAAAAAAAAAAAAAAAAAAAAAAAAAAAAAAATAAAGTAAAATTAAAATTAGAGGTGAGAGAAAAACATAATGAAAATAATAAAATTATCACATTTTATTTGAACCACAATAAAAATAATAATTAAAGCAAAAATAAATTTTACAAATTTAAAAAACAAAAATATATAGATTAAAAAATAAAAAAGAATGAAATTTATGTACAGCTTTTCACCAGTAAAAAACTAATAAACTATTTCATCCACGCAATCACACTAAGCTTTTATACAAACCAACTTGAACAAGCTGTTACATTGTCAATAAAACAAAAAAACAATGGACAAAATTCATTGTTAAAAAGTAAATCAACATAGCTGCTTAAAAATAAACAACAGAGTTGAACTCGTGGTAGTGGTAGAAGGATATTTTTTTATATCTGTAAAGTTTCCTATTATTAGCCTCTTGTTGGAAAGTTTAACAAAACAGAATTCTTTTCATAATTTAAAAAAAAAAAAAATAATTCCTCATCATCTCGCTTTATGAAGAAAATTTGAATGACAAAAGTACCTCAATTTATGATTAGATTGAAAAGCCAAAATACTTTAAAAATTCTGTGTTTCTTTGCAACCTCATTATTATTATGCTATAATTTATCAAGGAAATATATATTTGATAAAATTTTACTCCATAATATAAAAAAAGATGAAGTTCTTTTATTTTTCATATAAATAAATATTATGAATTACACTTATTTTGTACAGCTTTGACCAATACTTAATATGTTACCACTAAAAATATTTGCTACACCTGTCAGAAGTGGACAGATTTTGTGAAGTGATACAGATTTTGTTCTAAGATTTAGTCACATTTAACACTCGGGGGAATAGAAAAGTTTTTTTTAGCTGCTCCCTGATTCTTGATGAAATTTCTGCAGTGCCAGACCTTCTTGAATGAGAAGCATTCAGTTCAGGGGCAAGACACCCTCTTTTACTTTCTGGAGGTTGACTTCATGGACTGAAAACATTTAACAAATCAGTGAACAATTGTTATTTATATGGAATCATGTTCAATGGTCTTTTATTTTAAGATATAGTGAATGACTTTGACTTTTTGGATTCAGTTTATGACTTTGATATAATTCTTATTTTGGGTATACAATAGCCAAGCAGCTTTCTGGAGAGGAGGTATGTTTTGATTTAAAAAAAAAAAATGAAAGCTAAACATCTGAGTCAAATGACTATGCATGAATTTATCACACAAAAAAACAAAACAAAAAAAAAAGTAGAAGGAAAAAAAGTGCTATTAGAGATGTAAAAATAATTAATAGTACTTTCAATCAAAAGCCCTGAAGCAGATTTTTTCTTCTTTATAGATTCACCCTTCATCACAAAGAATTTTAGTTTTAAAACGGTTTTCTATACATTTTTGTAAATGTGAAAAGGAAGTCCTCTGGAAATGAAGACAAACTACTAACATTGCAGGTTAAAATATTTTCTTCTTCTTTTTTGAATTAGCTTTTGCAGCCTAAATCAATGTGAACATTTACTTAGACAAATCCAATGCGATGATTACCTTAGAAATGTTGATGCCAGTAAGGGTCTCCACAACACTGGGCAGTTTCTCCATAATGCTCATAACCTCGCTGGTCAATTTGAGGGCACCGATGTCTCCCTTTCCACTGGACACCATTGTCACTTTTTTGGCATTGGTGAGAGGGGCAGCAACTTCTGCAGCAATCTGTTGATTAGATATATTTTTGCAATAACCTCTGTATAGTGTTTAATCACATATACGTAGTGAACACTAATTAAAAAAGACATTGTGCTAATTGATAGCAAAATTTTAATTTGTAAAAATGAATATGGGAAAAATAAAAACCTAAGAGAGACAGTTATTCTAAAACAACAATAAAGTTGTTCACCCTTTTAAAACAACTGAATGAAAGCAAACAAACCAGATCATAAAGAGCCTGATAAAGCAGATCTTAAAGAGCGTGCCTGTCATGTGGATTCATAAATACCAATAACGCTAAAAAGGTGTACTTTTCATTCTAAGTTATCATTCTAAAATTTAAATGAATGTTTAAAAAAATACATATGTATAAAATACATCAAGATTCATTGTTTTCCTCTTAAATGAACACATAAAGCAAAATTTTAAAAAATGATGACATCTACAGACTTGTTTACTCTTACCATTTTGGCGTACGATGTATGATTTTGAGGTGTATACATTATATATAATGTATGTTTAGTTTTTTACTATTAAGATAATGTATTGAATGATTTTGTGATGATATTGTACGATTTTAAGAGTTTGAACCCGCCTTCAAACAAAACAATGTATTTAAATCAGTTTCGGTGAACCATCAAATGTATATAGTGTCAGATTTATATTACCAATTTCTTTATTATTTTCCCAACCAATATTTCAGGTAAATGTTTAAGAATATGGATTAAAATGTCAACCTACCTTTGGCAGTGTCTCCAAGACCATGTCGATCATGGCGGCATCCTGGTAATCCTTCCAGGCATCTGCTTTCTTGGCCATCTGTTCAGCTTCAGCCTTGGCACGGGCCTCAATGGCAAAAGCTTCAGCCTCACCTTTCATCTGTGATTTTTTAAAACAGTAAATTAATGAGATGGCTGCTTTGGAAATGCATAGGGCAATCAAAAGTATAAATATGTTGCCCCGATAAGCAACCTGCTCATCTGCAGCTATGGTCTTTAGATTCATACCAGTCATCAACAACAATAAAAATGGATGCCAGCTCGTAAACTCTGTAGGCATGTTTCAAAGATGCTAATATCTATAAGATTTACAATTTACAAGCACAGCCATCTATATCTTTACCTTGAATTTGACCATTAAAACAACCAGTACTCACCTTAATAGCCTCAGCTTCTGCCTCAGCCTCCATCACTATTCTCATTCTACAAAATGGGAGAAAAATAAAATAACTGAGTTAACTATGGCTTTAACAAAGCAACTAGATAGAGAAATTAGGCTACTTTCTGGTGACTTAGAATTATCAATGTATTGAAAAGTTTACTTTTGAAAGTTTCTTCAGTAGTTTATTTTGAAATGTTTGAATCAGCCATTGTAAAACGATTCCTGCTCTTTCTTATGTCATTAGTGCATTGCTTCTACAGCAAAATATTTCTGAACTCAATAAAAAAAATACTGACTTTATTAATTTAAAACGGATGTACATTTGAATGCACACAAAAACTAACTCTATTACTTTAAAAGAACAGTGGTTAAAATATGTACAACTGGTTAATGGAGCCTAGAATCACAAGACTTGCAATTCCATATTTTATAATTATTAGTCAAATATGAGATGTCTGAATTTCTAGGATATGACCATTCCTCCTCAATGCTACAACAACAATTTTTTTCCTTCAAAAAATAATATTGTTTCCTTAACTATTCACCAAAAATTTTATCATTTTATCTTCTGACCTGTTGGCCTCAGCCAGTTTCTCCAATCTGAACTTCTCTGCCTCAGCAGGTTTCCTGACCTGGGCATCCAATTCTCTCTCCCTCCTTGTGATCTCCTGCTCCTGGACCTGAATCTGTTGGGCCCTCTCAATCACAGTCACCTGCATGTTCTCCTCCCTGATCCTTTGTTTGGTCTTGGCAGCCTTAGCATATCGTAGAGGGAGGGAATGAATATCAATGTGAAAAAATGTGTGCTGATGAGATGTTAAAACTACTAAATGGTCCATCTTCTGGGACTTGAATCTTCATTTTTTAACAAAAATGTTTCTCTCTGGATACATCTTTTTCTAATACTGATATATTTTTTTTAATGTAAACAAACAGATAATAAATACTTTTGCTTCAAATTCATTATAGGAAAAAAACAGGTATTTATCCCAGTTCCAAAAGCAGTTATTTCTATTTATCATTTGTTGCATTTCTTTACAAACCACATTTATTCAAACAAGCATAGCTTAACATTTTTTTTCAATTAGTAGTGTTCACTTGGATTACAAGAATGTGACCACCTAATGCCTGATAAGGAGATATATATATATATATATATATATATTTAAAAAAAACAAAACAACTAAACACAGGTTCTAGCTGTTAGATTTTCCTTATCTATCAGAAATATCAGTGAGGTGGAACAATAAAGAGGATTAACAAAAATAAAATTATACGATTGCAAATGTTATATAAATTTCCATCTGATCAAAATTCATGAACAGCCAAAAGTCTTACCCTACCTGAAGTCTTCATCGAAATTTAATGTTAACTGGTGTTCCCTTACCTGCAGTTGGTAAGCCAGATCTGCCTGTGCTTTCTTGGTCTGAACCTCCATGTCATAGGCAGCCTTCTTCAGCTCATAATCTCTCTGTGATTTGGCAATCTCAATGTCGTTCACGTAGCGTGCCTGCATGCGCTTTTCTTCAGCTGAGGCTTCCTGTTAATGCACATTTCATTATTTGTTTAACTGTCCTATACAGAAAATGTTGTAATTAGAAACATAAAATATCAATCATTTTATAATATATCATATAAACAGTATCATTGAATTAAATTATTTACTAACATTTACAAATTATTTTCATTTTAATGCGATATGAACAGTTGCTAAAGCCCAAGCATTAAATATATTCATCAATATCTTGAATTAAATAGATTCACTTTAAGTAATTGACTATTTATTTACAGTTGTAACAGACCTTTTTATTTTTTAATCTCTTAGACATTTCAGCTCTTTAATTATAAAAATATCTGTTTAGGCAAATGGTAGAAACACACTAAGAGTGAATTTTTTAAAGTTGAATCTTAACCTTGGCTGAAAAACAGACTTTGAGCATAAAAATAATGTATTACATTTTCTACAGCCATTGTTGTAGCGTCCTTTTTTTTTCTTCAAATCTGCATATAATGACCTGTCTTATATATAATAACGCCACAGAAAAGAAGTTTAAATAAGTCTACTCAGAGCAGAGACAAAATTAAATAAACAAACAGGTCTACAAAGAAACTTCATTCAGTTCCCTAATTTGTAAGGAAACATTAAAAACTTAAAACAAATTAAAAGATATTTGCTAATCTTTACCCCCCCCCCCCCCCCCCCCCCTTATTTTTTTTTTTTTTTTTTTTTAAAAATTTTTGTTATTCTTTTCCCCCCCCCCCCCCCCCGACAAGTTATTGTTGTTTCCCTATTTTTTATAAGGCATGATAAAGAATTGGATTCTCATGAGGGATACATCAAAACTTGAAATACTGCAAGTTTGTATACAAATAAATTAGAACATTAATAGCTTTGGAACAAATATAATGAGGTCAATAAATTAGGTTGGTTAGCAAATACAAAGCAAAGCTTAATAACACATCAAGCTGTAACTGAAAAACTATAACATAAAATTTAAAAAACCCAGAGATTCAATAGTGTGAATCAACGGAAAATAAAAATTATACAAGAATGTGACAGTGGTTTCTTTAAATCTGACTATAAGATATCTATCCTCCTTGCAAGCCCTAATACAATCTAGAAATATCTGTTTATAAAAAATGTCAATCCATGCAAGAATAGTGATTGAATTTCTCTATTCAAACTCATGATGAATCTAAAAATTGTTAGATTGTTTTTATTTTCCTACTTTGGCTTTAAAAAAATAATTGAAAGAATGGAGTTCATATAAAAAATATGACATAAAGCGCTTATTACCCAGTATCAACATTACAAAGGGACAACACTCATCAAATTAAAAAACTTCCAAGTATAGACAAAATTGATTATTTTTCTAGTCCAGTACAAACAGTGCTGTGTTAAGGCTTGGGCACACCGGGCAGTTGCACCAAGGCCTCATGCTTCTAGGGGGCCTTACGCTTCAAGTCGGCCTCACACTTTTAGGGGGGCCTCATGCATCAAGTTGCCCTTATTATTAGTGAATATTGAAAAATCCCCAGGCAATTTAATTTGCTATCAAAGGGCAGTGGGAAGTAGGTTTCCCAAGTTTTGTGAACTTGATTTTAAATTTTCCGTAATTTCATTTTTATCTGTATAAATTTAAGGGGGTGGGGTGTTATTGAAAGTTATTAAGAAAATCAAAGAGTTTTACAATAGGCACCACATGCTCATTAGTAGTTTATCTGAACAAAGTTAGAGTTTTAAAATTGTAATCCTAATTACATAATTATGCCATGTTATCAACTTTATTTTTAAAACTACCAATTTTAAATAGCCAGGGAAAAAAATATCTAAAGAACTATGTCGAGGGGGCCTCAGTGCATTACTTTTCCCAGGGATTCTTATGCTGTTAAGACGGCCCTAATGCTATCTCGGTTAAGTTTCTAAACATCAATTAATTTTTGTTTTTGTATTTGAAGTCGCCGTCATTTAAAAAAAAACTTATGTTGTCAAACTTTTTTCTCTCCTGTATCCACTATTCGATGTTCACTGTTAACACAACGCTGAGAAGAACACAAACATGCAGTGGCACATCTAGAGTACATAGTGCCTAGGGCAAGCTCTGAAATTGTGCTACCATAAAAAATCTAAACCACGCCCCCCACCCACCTTTTACAGTTTCATATTAAGCATGTGCCTTTCTTTTCTCCACCCTAGATAGGCTTCTGCTAACATGCCAATTGATAATTTTTTTCAAAGCTGTAAATTAACAAACTAAAACCAGACCAAACTCAAACCAAACTGCCACAAGACTTGTAACTCAAGCAACAGTTAGTGATCAAACGGTGGTCTACCTTAATGCCAGAGTCTCGCATGGCTTCCGCCTCGCCAATCCTGGCATCACGTTTTACTTGGGCGGTCCTGGCCATGCCCAGAGATTTCAGATACATCTTGGTGGGTTGGAAGGAAGACAGGCAGGAAAGACAGTGGATGGAGAGAGAGAGAAAGAGGGAGAGGAAAAAGAACACGGAAACATAGAGGTAAGACACAAGTAGAGGTAAGACGCAGATTGTCCAGGTCATTGTTTAAAAGTTTTGGGAAGAAAATGGCGGGCCAGGAGGTGGGGTTGGAAAATAAGAAACAGAAAAAAGAACAGTGGTTAAAATATGTACAACTGGTTAATACAATGATATTACAAAGCTGGAGAGGAAAGTCGCTTGTGTTGATCTCACTGGACATCACTACAGCCCCAAAGTACAAGTTGGTTAATATCGGCATTAGCAATGGATCTCCACCTTTCTTTAACCGAAATTCCCTTTTAATAACAAGTTAACATTTTGTCATGCAATTTTTTAAGGAATATCAAATGTGTGACTGAAAGATTTCATCAAGCTGATCCCAAGATGGAAAGGTTGAGAACCATTGCTTAGATCTGCAGAGAAAAGATAAATGGTTAAAACAAGGCGGGTTATGACTTTGTTACATCACCTTAATTCCTGAATCTCTGGTGGCCTCTGCCTCACCGATGCGCGCGTCTCGTTTGACCTCTTCAGTTCGTTTTTTACCTAATGCCATCAGGTAACCCTAAAAAAAGTAGGTCAGCCCTATACAACAAAATCCCCCTCACTTCAAATCCTGCACTGATACATATACATGCAACTCATGTTGCCTTACTAACCACTGGCAAGAACTGTGCACAAGATTGAACTCAAACACATTTAGATTCCATCACACACTCAAACACATTTAGATTCCATCACACACTCAAACACATTTAGATTCCATCACACAACAAAAATAGTATTCAAATAAGTCAGATTTTTACCTCCAGCCGCATGTTGGTCTCAGAAACTTTGGGGAAATAACTTTCCACCCCATTGTGTGACATTACTGTGAATTAACTTTGATAACCCATCCACAGAAGACCACAAAATATTTAATTATAAGAAACAGCTTGTGGCACCAAAATTGAGAAAACAATTCTTAGTTTAGAGTCAAAACATATCCAAAACTATACCAATATTTAAACATTCTTAAAAAGAAATTCTGAGTGCTGGCAATGCAGAAATACTTAGTGGCCATTTTCTTGGACATTTTGGAAGAATATTTGCTCAGTGTTAAAATCTCTGAGAAAAGTTGTATGTAATAAATTATAGTTGATAATATAGAAAGTAATGCCGACATCCTGGTATGGAGGTTTCACTTTATTCGTTTTAAATAAAGATGATCTCTCTGTCAAACCAACTGTCTGCCATCAGTAAAAATTACTGGTCTAATTTACCAACCTCCTTCCCATGGATAATGGGAGGGAATATTTTTAACTTTTTTTTTTGTTGTAAATTATTCAAATCTTAAACTGCTTTACCTCCTTGAGCATTTAATATTTTAAACAGTATTGCCAGCCTACCTCTTCATCTCTGATGTCCTTCAGGGTGTAGCTGACAACATAGATGCCCATATTTACGAGGTCCGACGAGGCTACCTCAAACACTGCCTTGGAGAACTTCTTGCGGTCTTTGTAAATTTCCTAGAAGTAGAAAAATCCTTGTAAAGAAAATCTTTTTTTTATCGATATCAGAAAGCACCTAGATAGTAGATATATAGACAATGTCAGTAAAAATCACAAACTAAGTGGGGAAAAAATGTATACATAAGAAAAGTTTAGTAATGAGTTCACATCTTTTACTTCTCAATCAATGTATAATTAAAATTACCTCAACAGTCATATTTCCCATAATGGCTCTTTGATGGCCCTCAAGAGTCTCTTGGGCCACCTTCCTGATGTCCTTCTCTGACTTTCCAAGAAAGAGCTCACAAGCTGCTTGCAGAAGCTTGTCATTGTTTCCTTGAACTTTGACCTGAGCACATGAAAATAAGCATTCCAAAAACCTGGATTTAGCAGTTGATCTGCAATGTCTTAAAGATTAAAAATCAAGATGCTAATAATTAAAGAAAGAGTAAGGTGGGGGAAACAAACATTTTCAAGCCTCTTAAAGGCAACAAAATCAATTATATCTCTTAAATAAAACATATAAATATTATTTCACAAATTAAATAACTAACCATACTTATTCCTCAAACTGTGTGGTGAAGGAAAAAACTGCAATGGTTTATATCTCTTCAAATAAATCTGAATTTCCCCAACCATAAAGTTTATTTAAACATTGTGTGAAATAATAAAAATTCATAGTACACTATTCTAAACCACTTCTTTAAAAAAAAAAAAAAACTTTACAAAATAAAAAAAACCAGTGGAATAATTTAAGATGATACGACTAGCATGCATTAACACCAGTGCCACCACACAATATAAACATGCAATATATAAAAATGATAGCAGCAGCTAGTTTCTGTCTAGCACACTATCCCAACCATAAAGTTTATTTAAACATTGTGTGAAATAATAAAAATTCATAGTACACTATTCTAAACCACTTCTTTAAAAAAAAAAAAAAAACTTTACAAAATAAAAAAAACCAGTGGAATAATTTAAGATGATATGACTAGCATGCATTAACACCAGTGCCACCACACAATATAAACATGCAATATATAAAAATGATAGCAGCAGCTAGTTTCTGTCTAGCACACTAAATAAAGAGGAACTGTTAGAGAGCCTAAGCATTAAATAAAGGGATGGCTAAACAATAAAACAACAGTGCTTTTCAATGCTAAATGGGAAAAAAATATGAGTTTATATTAATGTTTGGCTTTCTTAGTTATATTTTTTTTTTAAAAGTAAGCATTTCAAGTCATGGATTTATGAGCAGAATGGGGCTGTGTGATATTTTGTTAGGGTGATGTTACTTTACGATGGGAGGGGTGTGCCCCCCCCCCCACTGTGCCTATCATGTAAAGGAGTGGGTCCAAACTTTTTGACTCATATACCCTTTTCAGAATCAATTTTTTTGGAGAAGCCCCCTAGCCTAATTTGTGNAAATTGTATATGTTATAAAATGTGTATTATATATTATAAAATGTTTTAAAATGGACTTAAGATTTGCAGCCGAGTTTTCGCTCTGCATGAGCCCTAAACTTTTCGAGTGTGGTATCCCAATACAACATCAATGATCTGGTCGGGATCTGATTGTGGAGATCAGGAGTGGGGGTGGGCTGGGGGGGCAGGGGGGGATATACATAAAAGGACAAAATTATATTTTCTCATGAGACACCTGTGTTTTTATTGTTCAAAGTTTCTTATACTTCGTATTGGCCAAGGAGCCCATGAGAAGTGCATACATAGCACTAACAGGTTTGGAACCACTGGTGTAAAGTGAGTTGGGGGTCTTATAAATTTTTGTGTGTCTAGAATGCTTAATTTTGGTTATCAAGGATCACACTGTCAGTATTTTGTTCCCTTGGAGTAAATTATCTGTTTGTTTTGAAATAGCAAACACCTCTTAATATGTCATCTCTACATTCAATTAAAATTTACCAATTCAGATAATGAGAGAGAGAGGAGTCAACCAATCTGGACAGATCAAGCCGTATAGGATCATAGCAATCAATGTCAGACGTGTCTCCAAGACACATGCTTCACCGTAGCCGGTCCCAAGCCCGGGTGAGAAAGGGGAAGGGTTGGGAGAAGGGCTAGCAACCTTTCCCTGTAAAAAAAACCTTGCTACAAAAACACAAACAAAGATTTCAAAAGGAAGCTTGGACCTTAGAAAGGACGGGTCTCCTTTCAAAGAATTAATGGCAAAAGCCAACTGGCAGACAACCATCCTCTCCACTAGGACCACCACGACAAAAAGAGTGGGCACAACTGGGGTCATCTAGAGAGACTGGCCCAAGACCGAGATGCCTGGAGCGCCTTTGTTTGTGGCCTATGCCCCAGACGGGATGACAGGCGATGATGACTCTACGCTAAGAGTCACGCACACAAAATACAATAGACGGCAACACTTTTTATATAAAACATGTCCCTGGGACTAACACCATCTGAGGCAACAAAGACTCAATGTGGACCAACTTCCATTTGCCTGCTGTACACCAACTACTAAGACTCTATAACTAAAAACTCAATTCAAAATCATCTATTTCTCCCTTGATCGAGCACACTACATATACTGACGCACTTGTTTATTATGCGCTTCCCCTCATCCAATCACGATTTAGCCACAATAATAATCCTAACGCACAACTCATGGTAAAAACAGTTCCCCTTAACAACAAGGATTCTCAAAGCCTTCATCCATTCACAATGTTTTAGGAGGAATGTTGTTAACAGAATACCTTTAAATACAGTAGAAATTTACCAAGTTTATGAAACAGTCTCATGCCAATCATTTAAAAAATCAATTCCAAGAAAATATTTAAAAACATTTGCACCACACATTTTGAATGTCTCTTGATTGTATTTTATTCATTAATGCAGTTCCTATAAACAGTCCCAGAATTAGGAACTAGGGCCTGACTTTGCATTCTATTGATAGTGTAATCTCAACTATTCTCTTAGGTGCAACTGGCTTAACCTATAGCTCAATATCATCTATAGCTACACTGTCAGCCCCATGAACAGCTTGACAAAACAATTATAACATGCATAAATTTTCATGTGCATTAATGCATTTGACAAACGGTAATTATTTAATCTACATTTGGAATAAATTCACTTACAGGACATATGCTAAGTCATTGAGCCATTTCACTCCTGCTATAATGTGGTGACTAACTTTAAACTTGTATGTCTCATGTGTGTATGGTTACAGCTGATCAGTCCAGACATATTTCCATCAAAATGATAGATAAATAAGTTAATTAATAAAATACTACACACTATGAGAAACCTTGGCATGTTTGTGCATGTTAGCTTACCTGGGCAATCCCAGTAACTGAAATGGCAACTCCTAGCTGTGTGTAAACATTAGGGCTCTCTATGGTGAGCATCATTGTGTTCAGTGAGAGTCTGAAAGATGGCGGGAAGTGAAAAAAAAAAAAAAAACACCAACCAAAACTATGCACAGCACACTACAACAAAATACATAAATATTTACAGAAGAGTCCCGATTATCCAACCATCAATCATTTAACATTTCTAAATATCCTGCAAAGTCTTAAATGCAATATAAAAAACCCCAATAAATTTCTACATTTATAGCTTTTAATTTTATTCTATTTTTATAGAGTATACTCTGAAACACTGTTCTGTAGCTATTTTTGATATATGTACAAATATTTGTTTACTTCATATCATTGTTTATGATTAAACATTATGATTATTAAAATTTTGATGCTGGGTAAATAACCTGAATATTTATTTCTGTTTTGCAGCTATGTGTTTTATAGAGGTAAAAAAAAACGTTAAAAAAAAAAAAAAATGTTTTTTCAGTATTAAATGTGTTTTATATGGTTCAATAAAATTTATTATTATTATAATCCACTGTTCTGGATTATCCATCATTTATAAATTATTTTACCATATTATGATCCAATTTGGACTACATAATCGAGACTCTGCTGTACCTGAACTAAATCATAGACAAATGGCTGTGATCTTATGATTCAAAACTAAACATGATAAGTGCTTTAATATCCCTTTTTATGTCAAATAAACTGTGAAAGAAAGATTTTTAAAAAAATAAGGAGTATCAATATTTATCATTTTAAAAAATAACAGTAACTTGCTTTGGTAAAAATAAATTACTTTGAAAAAAAACAAAAAAAAAAAACAACTTAAAATGAAATCTTTTAAAATGAGACAAATCCTTAATAGTTAAAAAGTTGATTTCTGAAATTTAAATAAGTCAAATAATTATCAATTAGAAATTTAAATATGACCATAGATTCGGAGATTTTATGGCGAACACTTTACAGAAACATTATTCCCTTTAATTCTTGATCACCTTCACTTATCATAGAAGGTAAATACACAATTTTGCCTGTTGTTTTAAAGTTGACATTAGGGACATAATTAAACATTGCAACCAAAAAAAGACATAAAATTCAACAAAAGAGGTTGGTTTTTTTGTTTGTTAATGGTGCTTTGACTCTTCCATAACCCAGATCATGAATAGCACACACAGCTCTACATCTAGACATTTGAACCAACTGAAAAATGAAATAAAAAAGACTGAACTGAAAAGCCTTTCAAATATTTTATAAAGACAGATGCAGTGGAATATGGATAACTTTTCAGACATTTAGGCATGTATATATTTCACAGAAGCTTGTGTCTGTTCATTTAATATCTTTTAATTTGGAGATATACATTTAAACAAGCTGATGCTTTTATACAATTTATGGAAAAATTTATCTTAATCCGAATATTCTGCTCAGTATAACTGTAATGCTCCAACAATGTATTATCACAAATTTCATTGTCCAATGACTGTCAAATTAAATCTGAATAATTTAACTAATGGCATTATAATTTGGTGAGCTTAACATGTAAAATATTGTGTTAAAGTTATCAGCATTCCACTGGAGACATCAATTAACTGCACATTAATACACAGTATGCTAAATAATACAAAACTCAAGCAAGGGCTGCTGCTGCCACCATTATCATCACAATTCATCACATGTCGTGGGAGGATTAAGGAGGCAACTTACTTGGGCAATACCTGTTACAGAGATTGAGACTCCCTGCTTGGTGTACACCTGAGGGCTTTCAATTGTCAACGTCATTGTGTTCAAACTCATTCTTTCCAAAGAATTAGCATGACATGAGAACAAGAGAGGAAGGCCGAAAATGATTTAAGGAATTAAATTAAAAGGCCGGCCTCCAGAACAGGTCACTCTTGGGATGGGAAAACTCACAGGAGCAAGGGAATGAGGCCTTCTAATAGTAATTTACAATAATTTACAAAATTGCTCTTTACTCTACAGATATCAGTTACAGACATAGCCGAGAAAACCATGATGTATTTTTGAAAAGAAAAATGTTTCTCAGACCAATATCTGCTGTTTGTAAAGTGATGAAGACAGTAAACTGCACTGTCTGAACACACAGCATGGTAGAGAAAATATTTGTACAGACTGTCAGATCATCTATAAGAACAAACACAATGTCAACTCCCCCACAAAAAAGAAACAATGTCCCACACTAGGATAAAGAAAGTGTCAGCTCCACCATGTTAGATTTAAGTCTTTAAAGTTTATGCAGGATTAAAATATACATAATGAAAAAACATTTGTTTAAAGTTTAAAAAATCATCTAAAGTTATTTTATTTTCCTTTATCCCATAAAACTATCGTTCTTAACTATCATTTTTTAAATGAGTAATGAAACAATGAACAGCAGTTGCTTAGACTACCCCCTCTTTCCAAAAAAAAACAAAACAAAAAAAAAAAAAAAAAAAAAAAAAAAAAATAAAAAAAAAAAAAAAAAAAAAAAAAAACAATTAAAAAAAAAAAAAAAAAAAAAAAAAAAAAAAAAAAAAAAAAAAAACTTTAAACAGTGTTTAAAAAAAAAATGAAACCTTTACAAACAGACTAGACTATGTCTTTGATTTCAAGCACCAAAGGCTCTTTTGGTTGACAAATGATCAGTCTTTGCCACTTAATTTACTCAGTATAAAACCAGACATTTTGTTCTACACCTGTGAGCATAAATTTTGTAGTTGATTTATTGTGAGTAGTGTGACTATACTCTTAGGACCCCTGTTTATTGCACAACTGTGCAATAATGTCATGTAATTTTTTGTTTTATTTTCCCATAACATAAGTTATTAATTCAAAAATTAAAAAAAACAAAATAGTGAAAATGTTAAGTTTCGGGATGACAATAATTTACTTCACGGTAATGTCAGTGGTTGGTTTAATACCACTCTACTTATATTGGGTTATTGGCGTTAAATGAAGACGGACTGAATTTTCAAAATACAACAAGACCGTTAAATATCTTCTGAATAAAAAAAGATGAGGAGAACTCAAAAGGTTAACTGGGGATTATTTTTATTAATTAAGTATTGTTGGAATTATTTCCTATAGTGACAAGCAACCTCACAAAGGCAGTATTTCATAATGCAACCATGTAAACATTAATACCCATGTAATCTTTTTGGAGGTAACATCCACAGGTTGCACAACAATGGTTTACTTTTTGCTACAGTAACATTCTGAAATCATCTTATCGAATTAGAAATGTAGAAAAATTATTTAAAAAGAAAGTATAAAATGTTGCCTACTGCTTTGTGGTTTAAATTTCATTATTAAGACTACCACCAATTTGTTAAAGCTACTAATTATGATAAAAAAGCACGGTATGAATGAAGCAAAAGAAAAGAAAAATTGATTTGATAATGTACAATTTTTTTTTTTACTGTCAGAGTAAATTTATCTTAATAATAAGTGGCTTAGTATGCCTAAACTAATGCAATTTAAAATGAGAACAAGTGTGAAACCTATGCATTTCAATAAGAAATAATTTTGGTTTAAATATGTTAAAAAATATATATTTAAATCAACTATGGAGCTGAAGTGCTATTTTCCCCTACTGGCCTACTGCCTTTAACATTGGAGGCCTACCTTTGTAACTTCTGTATTCCAGGCCAAACAAAGACTCGACCGCCAGGAATAAACACTGACCGTTGGTGACAACATCCTGTTAAAGGTAACAAATAATGTAACACTTCAGTTCACTTTATAGCAAAATCTAATCCTTTCAACTTTTATTGTTAGCTTTGACAATAACCTGACATGAGATACAAACCTAGAGTGGGAAAATTGGTATAGCAGTAAATAACTTTTGAGCATACTTTTTAAAATAATAATGCTACACTTTGCTTGAGTTGAATGAGCAAACAATTTAAAAAAAACAACAACAAAAACGAGAGGGGGGGAGAAATAAATTTAGTAAAGCAGTTGAAAGATAATGAGAAATGTAGGCCAGTGGCTCTTAATAAAAACAGAAGAAGTCACCTAAATACATAGGAGAGAAAAAGGCCACTCAGAAAAACATAGGATGAAAATGGATGGAGAATAAGAATGAACCAGGAGTTGTATGAACTATTAAAGGAAGCTGCAATTGTAATAGAAATTGAAAAGGGCAAACTACTCTGGATAAGATATCAAGAAATATGAATATGTCCAATGACAAAGGCTGCTGTGATATGACGCATCCCAAAATTCCAGAGCTTAAATGGGTAGAAAATGGCAAAACAAATCTACAGTAATTTAAGATCCAAACTCCAAGCATAGAAAATAGAACAGAAAAAAAAAGGTCTGAGTGGAAGGTAGTGGTGAAGCAGGCCTAAACCATGAATGGGTTGTAGAGCAACATATGATGGATGAATTGAAAGATTCGAAAGTAAAAAATTAAGAAAGCCTAGATAAACTGTACGTCAATTTAACTTTACTTTAAGCGACTTGTTCATAAAAATATAGGAAAATAACTGTTATTCGTACACTTAACGTTTACCCTGGCTGTACCTTTTTTTGCACTATTTTTTTCACACTGCCGCCATCTTTGTTGCCATGACCCCGGCGTATCATGGCAATGAAAAAACATAGGCAAAAAAACATGCTGGCTTAAAAATCAATACATTAAAGACATTTTAAAGGAAAAACATTAAAAATTAAATTTAAAAAATCATGCAAATTCAATGGCTTTTTTTTTTCCTTCACAAAAAAACTAAAATTTAACCTGAATGCTTAATCAGTATCCCCAACTCATATAAATTCATCCCTAAATTTAGCACCCCCCTCCCTGCGTAAATTTATCCCTAAACTTGTCACCCCTAATTTGAGCATAAATCTTCAAACCTAAAATCTACAACCTGCCTAACATGAACCCTAAAATTAAAACCATGGGTTCATGTGCTAAAGTAACACTAACACACTACTAAGAAAATCTTAAATTTGAATAAAAACCTTAAAATAATTTTTCAAGTCATGAAAAAAGAGAATAGTTACTCTAGTGACTAAACTTAAAGGGGTGGTCACTCATCAGAATGTTGGGAATGAAATACCAAGCGTACATTGTCCAAATAACTTATTAATTAATTATAAACTTACTTATTAAATTAATTAAATCTCTTAAGTTACAGAGTGTAGGCTGCATTAGATTTAGAATTTTTAATTAGACTTCACTTACTTTTAAATTTAAATGCAATTCAGTTTTAGACCATAGTGATTAGTGTCCTTTTAGCAAACAATATAATATAAATAAAGTGCCTAAGTTACCGGCCTAAGGATAGTACTTAGTAGGCTACTTAAAAGTGGCTAAAATCACTAATGATCGCCCTTCCTAAAATTTCTGTAACACTAATTTTTACACTTTTTTTATAACAGTTATTACTGTGTTCACTGTTGATAGTTGGGCCAAGTCACTGTACTGTACACTGTACACAAACCTAGCAGGATAAATTATAATTAAGGAAATAGGCCAGGGCATGATATTATTTTTTGCACTTTTAACACGCCTGGAATCATTTTAAAATGATCATTACTATAAGCGGATTTAGTAACAGCCTAACTAAATTTGTATATTTGACTTTAGGGGCAGTTAGTATTAGTATTGCCTTTGCCTTTAACTTTAGCCTTAATTAGTTTTGGGGCGGTAGGACCTGGAGAGCTGTAGTGACGTGTGACCTATATTTAAATTATTTAAGTATTTGGCCTAATAACATTTGAATATATATAAATATAGGCAATGTTACCTGAAACTACCATCACCTCGTTGGGGCCACAAGTTTCGAATCCCATTTTGTCGACGAAAACCTCACGAAAAGGGAATTATCACAAACAACTTGCCCAGAGCCGACAATCTTATGGCCGCCCGCATAATAGATTGATGCTTATTTTGGTGAAACGAAGAGACTGCTCAACAGCTCATTCATTGGTTAAAATTGATGGCTGCAGGTCCGGATAGCAATCATTCTTTATGATCTGTTATTACTTTGATAATTCTTTTTTTAAAATAGCAATTTACAATTATTTATTTCATTTATTAAAAATTTAATGTGAGTTTATTCTCCTACTCAATCAAAGTTTTATAAATAAAACACTACATATTATTATGAACATACAGCAAATTGTAGTAATCATTAATTTATTTTCACAAGGCAGGGTTTTCCGGACAGTCTGGACAGACTTGGTAGAGCGATCTATAAATATTCAGCGCTTGCTGCATTATTCATAATTTTATTATATTTTACTGGAATAGGTAAAGAGGTTCCTACAAGTTAAATCATAATGATATTAGCAATTTTATGGGGGTCCACGTCAACACTTTTCACAATTATGTTCACAACTGGAAGCCTTCTTAATTTCAAAATTGACAATATTACCTGCTGGTGTGGGAATTCAGTATGATATTAAATACCGAATAAAAAGACTAATAAAAAAAAAAAAGGGAACATAGCGTCATAACACAAACATATTTCACTTGAAAAACTATTTGAAGAAAGAAGTTATTGTAAAACTGAACCAATTTTGGATGATACATCCCACCCTATTCATCACAGATACTTAGGATCGGCACGTTCGGGGCGAATTCTTTCTCTCAAGGCGAGGACTGATAAAGAGGGGCCGTCCATAAAGTACGTCACGCTCCAAGAAGGGGGGGGGTAAGAAAGTGTGACAGTTTGTGACAGGGGGAGGGGGGTTCAAGCCATCTGTGACGTCACACATTTATTTTTTTAACATTTTATTTCTAATTTTTTTTTTTTTACTTTTTAGTGTCACACTTTCTTACACCCCCTCCCCCCCCCCCTTTGAGCGTGACGAACTTTATGGACGGCCCCCTCTACTATTTAAGTCATTTTAATAACGTGATAGTGAAAATTAAGTGGAAATTTAAAATGAGGGGGGGGGGGGCCTAAAA